GTCAGTTTGTTGCTCATTACAAGTTTCTGTTTCTCACAAACAACAACCAACTGGATCAAGCCACTACAGACTGTACATGGATTTCTGCAGAGGTCCATCATCAACTGGTACTAACAGAAATTAACAGGTCAAATTTAATGCATCTATATATCTTGGAAGGATGAAACACTTTTTATTTACCTTGAGAGTCAGCGTCGTTTTTTGAAGTTTGCTTTCCACAAGGGCAACTCTGTCGTTAGCTTCTCGCTCCAGCTCCTCAACAGTTTGAACCAGGATCTCATTTTGATCACTCAGTTCATTCACAAAGGACTGCAAGGATTGGAGCTGATGCTGCAAGACAAACAACAAAAAATTTCAATCTTCACTTTAAATTTTTTTCAATAATTATTATTCCTTTAAGAAATCTTAACTATCAACTCTGTTAAACCAAATGCCTTTTTTTTCTGGTAGGGGGATTGGAAACAGACAGTTTTAACAGGCTCAATCACTAATTAATCATTGACTGAAATCAATAGCAAACTTCCTTGATGGCAAGAAGTTGTCGGCTAGCCTTGAATACATTAAAGTTCACCATCTGCTGCTAACTCTGCAATAGACTAAGTCCTAGACATGAGTGTTATGTTTTGATTTGGAATTAAAAATCTGTACACAGTATTAATACATTGTACATGTAGCTTATAATTTTTACAAGGATCACAATCAAGCTTTAAGCTCACACAATGCTTCTTTGCAAACAAACTAAACATTTGCAGATTTGCAGGTAAAAACTTCACTTGAGCAAACAATTTCCTTTCACGAAAATAAAACAGGGAAAGAATAAAAAATAATTACAAGAGACAAAAGATGACCATATGCTTTAGAGATCAGTATCAAATACTACTCACGTCCGAATCCATAACTCTAAAATTTTAAAGTGTATCTGATAAGCTTCATTTATGTCAATGCACCACGGCTATAACATGCCTCGGTGACTAAAACGCCGTCCAATGTAAACAAAACTGTAGTTTTCAACACGTTCAACTGTTTTACCACCAACGACAAAATTGATTCCGTTTCTTGAAATTTTAAAGAACTTTTACGATGGTAGACGTCGTCCAGGGAGCGTAGAAATATATCCCCGCGTTCTGCTGGCCCGTTTTCGCCCGGTGCCAGCCTCGCGGGTCTAATATTTCTGACCGCTGGCCTCTTGCATTTCATGTGGCTTCTGAAATATGGCTAACGGTCTAAGCGCGATTTGATTCTTTAAAAAAAGCTCTTCAACAGCACTACATATCTTAATTAGCTATCAGTTCTGAAAAATTTAGATTTTTTTATCTTCCCATCGAACACTGCTTATCAGCTGGCGTGAAACAATTTCGATTTTCGTGTTCGAACATTTTAAATTTTACGGTGAGAGATCGAATATTTAGTAAGTCACTGTTTACAATCTGACGAGGTTGGTGGGAAAAAAATCCCATAGATCTTACCCGGTGAGCTTCTTCCCTTTTCTCTTCCACTTCTTCCATGTCTTTGAGTCTATTCCGGTACATCCCTCTTAGCTCGTCCGCCAGCAAACTGTCGCTATCCTCGTCCTCGTCTCCGAGTAGTTCTCCACCGTGCAGAAAACTCTCTCCCAGATCTTTCTTCTTGGTACTCATCAGACGTGATTTTTAACCTCTGCTTTCTGGTGATCAAGTCGATCGACTCCCAGCTGTGAGCTAGGCCGAGTGATCTTTTAAAATTGCTCGCTCTTATTCCTTTCTTTCCATGTCAAAAATCACTCTAAAAAGCCAATACAAAGCTGTAACACAACAACCGAACGCTTGGGAAAACGACGCGCGCGTGCTGGTGCACTGATTGGTGGAATTGTTACAACTATTGTTATTGGTTTCTCCAAATAAGGATGCCTCATTGTTAAAGTCAATTAGAAGCCAAAATGGCGCGAACAAAAGGCAACGCTGTGCAATAATTGTTCCTTTTCATGCCGATGGAAAAGCGATCATAATCATTTTCCAGAACAGAATAGGATATTTTGTGTTCAGGATTATCTTGTTTCGTACTCCGTAATTAGCTGTGAATTAGACAAGTCTTAAAAATGGGCGCATATATCATCGCACAAAACAAAGTCAATCTGTATAATATTTTAAGACCCATTTTAAATATCAGTGGAAAATCCAATTTATCTAACGGTTTAAGAGGTCAAGAGAAGAGCGAATACATTGTTTCTGCGCTGAAAGGTCAGCTTTTTTAAAATATGTTTTCTTTTTTCTTTTTTCTGAAATTTGTTTGCCAGTGGCAGCCTGCATGGAGGACAAGATGGAGTCACCATGGCAACTGGATGAAAGATACCCCAGGTAGCTACATAGCTATGAAGCGATTTCTCGAATTCTCGACTCGGCCACAGGGGTTGTGAACTCTATAGGATATATATCTATAAGTACTTAGTCAAAGATTAAACAGTTTTTACAATCAGAGTAATTTTCGCCAAATTGATTTGATATTTTGTTGTTAAGGTCATTTATAGGGGAACTACATTGTTAAAGCCTGTAAAGGTTTCTTTTTGTCTTCAGCCATTCATTCATACAGTAGAATCCCGATTTCTCGAGCCCTCGGTTTTTCGAATCTCCCGATAACTCCAACCAAATGTCATGCTCTCAGGTTTTCTGCTAATGTTAGACAGTCTAGCAACTTTTTTAGTTTAGAGCAGCTTTTTTGAATTCTAAGCAATTTCTAGTTTTCTATCAATTCTGAGAAATCGGAGAAGCTTTTAGTGCTTAACGTGGCCTTGCTTCCATATTTCACAATGTTTGAGTAGACAATTTATTAATTTCCTGTGAAAAAGAAGCCAGATACCCCTCCCCCTGAGGCTGTCATGGGTGCAAGATGCATGCAGCCGGGTTGCTAGGTCAGCGCTTTTTTTTTTCTTTTGTTTTTTTTTTTTTAATTCAAAATGGCGGACGAAGATTCACCCTCGGCTGACTCGAGTGTCTCAGGTGAAGAACTTTTACAAGATTAATATTAATATTGATACGTAGTCTTTACTCATACATTTTTAATTTTGCTTTTTTTTGAGGACAAAGGTATTTAGCAAGGCTGGTTAAGCCGCAAAATTGCCCAAAAATGCTTAGAAATCTTACTTTTGTTGTACTTTTGTATCAGACCAAAGAAAGGAAGAGAGTAACAATTTTTGTCTTGTTTTTCCTTTTTTTTTGGAGAAACGTTTGAGCAACTTTCGTTACAAAAAGCAACCTTTGACTTTCTTTGAGCAACGTTTGAGCAACTTTTTGAGGAATTTCGGGTAACTTTTTGTGAATCTCGAGCAACTTGCAGAAAGCCCTACCCCGTCCACATTGCGCCGGAGAAATTTGAAAACTCAGCTTTATTTCTATGGTTAGGCCTACCGCCCACACTAATCCGTCACGAAAACGGAACTTTTCAAAAACGCTCTTCAGATCGGAGGAATTTGAAAACGGCGGCTTTGCGTTTTAGTGTGGAAGGAAAACATTTCGAAAACAGAGCTGTTCGAAAACGATGAAGACACGAGAATCACTGATGGGATTTCCCCGCCCAGGTTTTCCTCAAACACAAATCCAAAGAGACCGGTGATTGTTGCGTTTTTAAATTCTCCGGTGTAGTACAGTGGACGGCAAATTATTGCTACGTTTTCAGAGTGAAAACGCCGTTTTCAAAGTTCTCCGGCGTATAGAGTAGACGGGGCGTGAAGCTTATATGTATGGCGTAGGGTTATATGTTCATCTCACCTGGAGGCGCTGTGGCCTCATGGTTAGTGCGTTCGTCTCCGGATCGACCGGTCTATGTTCGAGCCCTAGCCGGGGACATTTGTGTTTTGTTGTTGGGCAAGACACTTTACTCTCATAGTGCCTCTCTCCACCCAAGTGTATAAATGGGTACCGGCGAATCGGTTTATCGATATCCGTGAGGATGCCACAAAATGTAGTTCTGAAAATATTTGAAAGAAATGTCTCAAGTGCTTCTTTTCGCCGAATTTATGCTGGAAATTGATAGGAAAATAATTGGGTAGATATTTCTTGTTGATTTCGATTTAAGACAGAAAAAATGGCTTTTGTGTTTAAGTGGATGGTTATGAAATGGCAAAAACTCGTAAAGTCCTATGTATACAGTATGCCAGAACAGAAATTGTATTGAAATCCCCAAACATCTTATGGCTTTTTTGAGAACTTTAGTGATTGCTCTCACAATTCATGCTGGAATAATGTGTATTTACTGTTGCCTAGTGCAGATATTTGCCATCAATTAAAGGCTATATCCACAACTCTACGAAATATGTACCTTACTTAAGATGGAGCCACGGAGAGAAATCAAATTGCCTCGCTCAAATGAATATCTGTGCTTTGAGACCGATAACAATAGAACACCATCCAGTGGATTTCATTCTCACATGGCCTTTCGTGTTGTAGAAATACTAAATGAAAGACAGCTAATTAAATATGCATAAATTAGTGACAAACGGCCATTTTTGGAGGGGGTACACCTAACTTGAAGAGAATAAAATATTTTGAGCTAAGTTTTTGCCGTAGTCATTTACTCACCAAACCCAACATGTGTACCAAGTTTGAGCGAAATCGGTGATTTTAGATGTATCACCTCCTGTCTGGTTTTCTCATGGACACACTCTTAAAAATATCGAAGGTGACTCAACGGAGGCAAACGATCTTACTCATATTTTGTAGAAGTGGGTCTGTTGCGTAAATTATTCCAAATATTGCCAACGTTTTCAAAAAACTTAACCCTTCAAGAGGCATTTCAAACCGCCTCACACATAAACGGAGAGCTAAAACACGGAAAGGAAGTCGATGGTGTATTTTGCAAAAAATTCAAACTTTTAATCGATACGTTTTCTTCATTTTTTCGGTTACGGTAGAAAATCGGTAGAGAAAATGATCCATCAAAAGAAAGGCCGTCCAAGATCGTTAAATCCAGGCATAACTATAACAATGGAAATCTGTCCTATTATTATTCATTTTATTACTTGGCGCGCGATCGATGCATGACGTGGCGTGTGAATTTTCGCGCGCAGTAAGAAAGCGCACAAACAATTAACACGAACGTCCTGGAATTACTCGAAACTTAAAAGCCAATTTAATACCCCTTTTGGAGGTAAAAATGAAATCGGGTAACCACAACAAAACCAACTTTAAACACCGTTTAGGGTCTTCTTGCAATTCCAAAACTCTCATTATTTTTGCAAGAGTGTTCCGGCGCCTCCCAGTACAGGGAAAAAGACAGCCTCCTTCTCTCCTCTGTCTACATTTGTCGTTTGACAAGTGGAGGCAGAAGAAAGCCTGGGAACGAGGTTGGGAGAAAGGCGGTCTACATTTACAGGTCAGCCGCAGAACTAAGCTCAACAATGCAAAGCCACGGATTTCTTTTCATCACTTAGATGAGAAATACTCAATCTTATATGCTTATCTGGGGATTGAAAGCATAGCCTAGGAATTAGTGCAAGTGAAACTCGTACCTGAACACATGACATGCAATCCACAAGAAGCAATAATATTGATTAAATGTGGCTTTTTTGCCATAAATTTATCGACAGAAACTGCGTGCGAGATTTTGAGAATGTGATTACAAGATCAAATATCAGTTAGTCAGGCAATCAGTCAGTCCGTCAGTCAGTCAGTCAGTCAGTCTGCTTGACAGCACAATGCTGATAATAAGTATGTGTTCATTTGCGATGATCTGGATCAGCATCAACGATCCAAGGTAACTCGGATAAAGGCGCATCAAAGAAACCGATGAAACCTACAGTGGATTCACTTGTTCCTTTGATGCACATTGATCTGATTGTGTGCGAGAGAAAGTAGCATTTTAGGGATTTTTTTCCAATATTTTAGATTAACAGACATTTAAACAATATCCAGTGACGAAGGCCGATTTTCAGAATAAATGTCTGATCATATCTCCGCAAATCGATGGCCCAAGCTTTTTCTTAAATTAGTTTCTGACATGAGCAACTCATGGCAAAGTCAACGCAAGACCACCTGTGGCCAAGCGCGATTTTCCCAAGTGTTGACAAATTAATCTCCTTTTATTTCATCTTTTATATAGCAGCACAGCCAAGATACAAGAATGAGCGGAAACATTAACTGCTAAATAGTTTTTGTGCTCAATTTTCTGCTGTTCATTATAGATGAGTTTGTTAGTAACCCTTTACGTAACGAAAATGCTTCCCGAAACATGTAAACGACATCAGTTTCAAATAAGGGAATAGCATTTTAGGACATTCGGCACGATGACACTGTTTTCAGTCTTAAAGCTTGAAAATTTACGAAATACAATGCGAAAAGCCTTCTTTGATCAAGCCTTAACGTAAGAAGATTTAATATCGCTTTTGTGTATTGTGTTGCACGTGTTGTTTGACTTGTTTGGCATTTGCGCTAAACTGTGTTCCTCATTAGTTTTACAGTTCACGGCTTCCGATAAATCTTCACCTGCCGTGTGAAGTGGCAATTGATTCACACATGCTAGAAAACCGACCAATTAGCCTTTTTGATCATTTTTGTTCGTCAGTCAATTTTGAGTTCACCATTATTCAATTTTAATCGAGTTATTTCCAAATGTTGACTTCATTGGTGAGTTATCGACCAATCAGTCCAACTCGGCTTATTATCTTATGTCCAAACCATTTCAAATCAAGATCTTGTGAAGTGGTTGGAGCGGAAACCGTGTTAATATATTCAACAACAAAAAGCCTACATGGCAATAATTTCGTCCAGATTTATCCAAAGAAGGCCCGAAGTGTTTCTCCAAATTATTCATTATGAACAAAACTG